CGTTCCGTAAACGTGAGGCGTCTTTTCGTTTATTTAGGTCTTCTTTAATTTCTTTCGAAAATATATTCTCGCTTCTAGAGTACGAGCTTTGCACTTCTTTCGTTAAATTTATTCATAGGCATTTACAAATTCTTTTTGATGTGTGAATGGAATATTTTCTTAATTTCATTTTTGATTGCTCATTACTAGTGTAGAGAAATACGGTAGTTCTTTGTTTGCTTGTTGTATATTGACCTCGTATCCTGCAACCTTTGAACTATTTTTTTAGTTCTAATAGTTTTTTACTGTTTTTTTTATTTTTTATTTTTTAGAATTTTCTATCTACAAGATTATATCACCTGCAAATGCGGGTAGTGTTATTTCTTCTTCTCCTGTCTGGATGGCTTTCGTTTCTTCCCCTTTCCTAGTGTCCCTGGCTAGGACTGTCGAGTGGAGGTGGCGGGGGGCGGGCGTCCTTCTCGTGGCCTGCTCTTAGAGGAAGAGTTGCAAGTCTGTGTCCGTTAGGGGTGTTTCGTAGGTATCCTTTACCAGGCGGTTTCCCTCCGGCCTTAGCTCGTCGAGTGTCTTTATCATGAAGGGTGTTGGATTCTGTCAAGTTTTTTTAATGCCTCTGTTGAGATGAGTAGTGGTTTCGTCCTTTGTCGACATAGATCAATTTTGGCGTATTAAACCAACCTTGCATTCCAGGGATAAATCCCATTCGGTCGTGGTGTATAATCCTTTTCCTATGTTGCTGGATTCAGTTTGCCAGGATTTTGTTGAGGATATTTGCGTCGATATTCATAACAGTCAAAATTTTCTCCCAAACGTTTCAGCAGATCTGTCCACCACCTGTCCGTCATATTGTCTGCATTCTCATACGCTTGAAAGAAATTACGCAACGTCGACAAGTCCCGTTCCCCTTTCTGGAGGATTCCACCCCCTGCCTTTTGATCTTCTCCATTTTGGACTGGCCGCCTCTGGGCCCCTGCTCGGATGTTACCCTGCGCCCTTCCTCACCCCGATTCTGTCGGTCCGCTGCTCTCTGGGCTGTGTGGGGGAGGGGGTTGGGAATAGTGGAAGCTGATCGGGGTCCAACTGTTGTGAAGAGACCCTCACCCATCTTCCTGTGCACATGCACGCATACCCTCTCACATTTACACACCCATGCACACACACAGACATGCACATGCACATTTACACACCCATGCACACACAGACATGCACATGCACATTTACACACCCATGCACACACAGACATGCACATGCACATTTACACGCCCATGCACACACACAGACATGCGCATGCACATTTGCACGCCCATGCACACACACAGACACGCACATGCACATTTACACACCCATGCACACACAGACACACATGTGCACATTTACACACCCATGCACACACATACACGCACATTTACACACCCACGCACACACAGAGACATGCACATGCACATTTACACACCCACGCACACACACAGACATGCACATTTACACACCCATGCACACACAGAGACATGCACATGCACATTTACACTCCCCACACACACACACAGACATGCGCATGCACATTTACACACCCATGCACACACACACTCTGCGTATTACCCCCCCATGCAGAGGGACCTGGGATTGCCACTGGCTTGACCTCTCTGCAGATTGGAGGGGCAGAGGGTGGACCCTGGCCTGACTTGTTCAGTCTCCCCTCCCCCAAACCCGACCCATGCAACGCTCTGCAGGCGCCGGTGCTGGCCGAGATCTCCCTGTCTGCGGTTGTCTTCCTCGCCCCCTCGCCCCCAGGGTCCTACAACAGGAAGGAGGTGCTGGGCCCACTATGGGCCTGGGACCCCTGAAGGAGGTGCCGGGCCCACCTCCCAGGCCTGGCTGACCGCTGTCCTCTCTGCCTCGCCTTCCAGAACATGCCCAACGTCCGTGACCATGATGCCTCGATCTACCTCCGCCTCCAAGGGGACGCCTTGTCGGTGGGGGGCTATGAGGCCAACCCCATCTTCTGGGAGGAGGTGAGACATGGAGGGAATGAGGGAGGGTTTTGGGGCTACGTCTCAGCATGGAGAAGCCTTCTTCCGGGGAGCCCCCCTCCTGAAGCTCCTCGGGTGCCTACCTGAAACTTGGCAGGTCCCCTGGCCCTGCAAGGGTCAAACTCATTTTCCTCCAACCTCCACAAGACCTGGTGTTACACAGGTAGGTCTAGCCCTGAGGCAGGTGGAGGGCTTGTCTCAAAGTGTCAGTAGTTAGAGGCTGTGAAAATGTAGCGAAGGCCTTCGACATCATGCGGAGGTTCAAGTCCTCTGTCCGGCAGCAGAACCCTGGGCCCTCCCCGACTCCCGACCGCAGGGGCATCTGTCCCAGCCTGGGCCCTCTCCTGGAAGCTTCTGGGGTCGACTATAGACCGGTGTCTCCCTTGGCCCTCTTAACGTGCATGGACCATCCCCGCCCTTATAGACACGCATTTAGTCCACACGTTGAATGACTGATCACTTCGGCCAGAGACAGTTTTACTTTTTGGGGAAAGAGAGACTCAGAAAGAAGCCCCTGTTCCTAGAGGCCTGTATTTTGGTGGGGAGACGTATAGTAAAGAGACGAGGTGGTAACACAGTCAGGGGGGTCGACCTGCGCACCGAACGAGGTGAGGCTAAGTGGGGGGGGGCGTTCTGCAGACAGGGGTCGGGCAGGGCTCCCTGGGTGGGGCCTGGCGGGTGGCACGGTGGGCAAGGGGCGAGGTCACGCTTGCCGTTCTCGCGTGGCTGCGGGTCAGGGGGGATGTAGGCAGGGCCGGCTCATGCGGGGCTCTGCTGACCGCAGGTGCCGTGGGGACAGGGGTGGCCTGAGAGCAGGGGGCTGTGGTCTGGCGTGTGTGGCGCCGGCCGGGGAAGCAGGGCCTCCGGTCGAGGGCCGAGCGCTGGGACCTGGCCTGGGTGCGGATGGGGAGCGGACAGGCCCCGCTGGTGGGCTGATGAGGAGAGACGAGCTGAGGGCGCTTGTGGGGACCAGCTCACCCCGTCACCTGCCTGACGTGGGCGCGCTGGAGCTCCCGGGCGGCCGTCACAGGGCAGGACCCCACCCGCCTCCCAGGTGTCGGACAAGTTTGCCTTCGGCCTCTTCGACCTGGACTGGGAGGTGTTCGGCCAGCACATCGAAGGCGCCATCAACCGGGTCCCTGTGCTGGAGAAGACAGGGGTCAAGTCCACAGTCTGTGGCCCGGGTGAGTGGGGAGCCTGGGAGCTGGGGCTGGACGTCAGGGGTCCTTCAAGCTGACCCTGGGGTTCACCTCCCTTGTCACCTCCTGGGCAGTGGGTGTTGCTGTCCTCTCTGTGGGCCAGAGACCTGACTCGTCAGGGCAGGAATTTGCCCCGTTGGGCGCACGGCCTGCCCTCCCACCCCAGAGTGAGCTCCTCCCGACGCCCCAGCCGGGTTTTCAACCCCCACTCGGCTGGTCCGGGGAACTCAATGTTTTCATCTGTAAAATGGGCGTCGGCCCCTCCCAGCACCCTGTGAGGCTGGGGGGCGGGTCAGGCCCCTTCCCGGTGCCGCTGTAGGAGGCTGTAGACCCCCCGGTCCCGTTCAGCCTCGGACCCTGCGATCCCTGCTGCCCTGGGTGTCCCCCCTGGCCAGGACCCGGGCCGTCAGCCTCACCCGCGCTCTGTGGCCTCAGCGGCCAGCACCACAGGGCTGCGCACCCGCCCAGCTGGAAAGGCCCCGCCCCGCTCCGGCCTCTGAGAGCTGAGCTGAAGGAGGCCGGGGCAAGAGGGAGGCCCTGAAGAAGGGGCTCAGCTCCCAGAATGCCCCCCGGGGCATGCGGGGCCGGCCTTGCCCCCGCCCTGCTGGCCGGTGCCCGGGCTAGGGGAGACTCAGCTCAGCACCACCAGCTCATTCCTGCAGGGCCCGTCGGCCGGCCTGGCTGGGCTTTGGGAGTTGAAAGATGACCTGACATATCCCTGCACAAGCGACTCACAGCTCAGCAGGGAGAAATGACCGCTCGATGGCTCGATGGCCTGGGACGGTGCCATCCTGGGGTGGCCCAGAGCGTAAGGCGCCGTGGGGAGGGAGAGGCTGATGCTGACGGGGTGGGTTGTCTGAGCTGGGTCTCAGGCTGTGTGCAGATGGAGAAGCTTCCAGAATGAGATTCTAGGCTGAGGGGCAGGATAAGCAGGGCTGTGGTGTGGAGGGGCATGCACAGCGTCGGCTCGGTCCCTCTGCCTGTCCCCGCCTGCCCCGAGTCAGGTGCCTGTCGCAGGCCGGGCGGAGCACGCACGGCAGCAGCCCCAGGAGCTGGCCCCCGGCAGGGAGGCCACCTGAGCCAGGGCGAGGGCGCGGGGGACGGGGCTGCTGGTCTGGGGTCCTGGCACAGGGCACCTCTGGGGCCTGGGCGGGGCTCCGGCTGGCCTAGGAGCCCGATGTTGCCGCTGCGGGACTCTGAGTGTGGTCGCCCAGAAGCCCCCGTGACCAGCCCCTGCAGCGTCACTCGCCGGCCTTTGTTCTGCACTAGCTGGCACCTCGTCTGTGCCGGAGACGCCCGTGCGGGCCGGCGGGGGGTCCAGAGCAGTCGGGTGATCGGACGGGAGCACAGGGGCGGCAGGGGCGGAGTGGGCACCCAGAGCAGGACGGCCGCGCCCGGCGGGTGTTCCGGGGGGGGCACAGGCCGTGTGTGCCTGGACATGCCACCCCGTCGTGTCCCAGCGGGATCCGTGTCCCTCGTCCCCGGCACGCGCAGCCGCTATTTCATCCGCACCCGTGGCGAGCAGGGCGAGCCTGGCCCCATGGCGGGCCGTGGACGGAGGTTCCCCTACAGCGTTGTCCAAAGAGGACACTTTGTGTTTGAGGCTCTGAGTCCCCTGTGCCTCAGTGGCCTCATCTGTGAAGGGGGTGGCGGGCACCCTCTCAGCCAGGGGAAGCCACACGTGTGCGCAGGGCGCGCCCGGGCCAGCAAGCCGCAGTGGGCAGCCAGAGGCCACAGGCGAA